AAAAAAAAAGTGACATTGTGTCACTTTTTCATTTTACACAGTATTTTTTACTTCCAAAAAGCTTTTTATATGATTTTTCAAAACACATCTAACTTTAAGGGTATTTTTTTAAGTTGCCATTTTACCTTTGGCTGCCATTTTCTATGTATAAATCCTAAGGCAACCTATTTTCTACAATTATTGAAGCCCAAATATTCTTTTTCACTTTCCATTTAGTGGAAATTACACATTTCCCTACTTTAAGTATTCACAATTCTAAAATAAGATGAATAGTTTAACATTTCAAAAATCAGATATATCATGTTTAAATATTAAATATACAAATTTCATTATTTTCAAAACCCTAATTAGTTTATTTTTCTCTCCATCTCCCTTTCTCTCTCTTTCTTCACAGCCACTACCGGCAAGGCTCTAGATCTTCCCTCCCTCTTCTTGATGCCGGAACGACATGAGATGTCGAAAGGACTGTTGGAGCGTGGTGATCCTTGATGGTCGGTATGGTGGTGGCGATAGTCGTAGCGGTGGTTGTGGGTGGGATGAAATGGGATTGGATTCCCGTGACCAATTATTTTGTTGATTGTGACTCATAATTGAATATGTGACCTGAAAATTGTGGCTGTGACTCTAATTGGGACTCACAATTTATTAAGTTGTGATCGAAAAATCAATCGTGACCAATTAATTTAATAACTTGCAATGAGTAAATGAGTTGTGACCAATAAAAGTTTTGATTTTGTGATCGATGAAAAATCTGTGACCTATAAAATTTTTCTATAAAATTTTTCGATTCGTGACAGAAAAATATTCTGTGACCTATAATTTTTTGAATTTGTGATCAATGATATGATCTGTGACTTACAAAATTTTGATTTGTGACCTCGAGCAAATCTGTGACCTATAAAATTTTTGGATTCGTGACCCAAAAATATTCTGTGACCTATAAATTTTTTGATTTGTGACCTCGAACAAATCTGTGACCTATAAAATTTTTGGATTCGTGACCCAAAAATATTCTGCAAACTATAATTTTTTGAATTTGTGATCAATAATGTGATCTGTGACTTATAAAATTTTGATTTGTCACCTCGAACAAATTTGTGACCTATAAAATTTTTAGATTCGTGACCCAAAAATATTATGTGACATAATTTTTTGAATTTGTGATCAATGATGTGGTCTGTAACTTACAAAATTTTGATTTGTAACCTCGAACAAATCTGTGACCTATAAAATTTTTGGATTCGTGACCCAAAAATATTCCGTGACCTATAAATTCTTTGATTTGTGATCGAAAAATAAGTGGTGACCAATAATATATAAGTAGTGACTAAAAATTAATCAGTGACTAATTAATTTTTTAATTTGTGACCAACGAAAAATCTGTGACTTACAAAATTTTTGAATTGTGAACGTAAAAAAATTTATGACATAAAATTTTTGATTTGTGACAAAAAAATAATAAGTAACTAATTATATTGTTAATTTGTGATCAAATTGTATAGATCCGTGACCTAAATATATTTAATTAATAAAATAATTAATTAACTGATTAAATTATAAATAACTTTTAATAAAAATCTGATTTTAGAAATTTGAAACTTGTTTTCTAGGTTTTGAAATGTGCCATAATTAATTTCTTAGTTATGAAATTTTCCCAAACAAATTTGGGTATGACAATGGTGCCTACTAGTGTATGGGCCGGCCCACTAGAAACCTAATTATGACCCATAACCCAATGAACCAGTACACGTTGAGCTCAGCTCAATACACGAACACGACATTTCCGCGCTTAAAAATAGAAAACTTCGTCACCAAGCAATACTCGGCAAGTGTCAGCTTCAGATCTACGCCATTTGGACAATCCCCCTATATAAAACCCTCAACGATCGAAGAAAAAAAACTTAACCGCCTAATTTCTTGTAACGTTTTCGAAACCATCAAATTCCAATCTTTTCAAGTTCGAATTCGGGCCCCATTTCTGAGTGTGTGGAGAAAATTGTAACTTCGAATTTTCTTCACTTCAAGCAAACGGTTTTTTGATTAATCGGAGAGCCAGAACAATGGGCGGTTCACACAGTCGTGAAGGCCTCGAACTCTCCGATTCGGAATATTTCGGCGAGGATGAATCAGAAGAGGAGGAGGAGGGTTCGGAAAATTACGCTGATGCAGAAGATCATATTCCAAAGAGGAATACTAAAGTCGGTGCCGAAACCCTAGATGTAATCGATTCTAGGCTCCAATCCTTGAAACTGAAATACCCAAAAAACCCTTCCTCTTCCTCACTAACTCCAAACGCCAATATAAGAAACTCCGTCAAGCTTTATCTTCACATAGGTGGAAACACTCCGAAGGCAAGATGGGTGGTTTCGGAGAAGTTGACTTCTTATAATTTTGTTAAAAAAGTTGGCAATGATGATGATGGGGATGACGAGGAGGAGGGATTCGGCAGTAAGGAGAGGTTCTGGGTTTTGAAAGTTGGGGATAAAATCAAGGCTAGGGTTACAACCGATTTACAGATGAAATTCTTTGGGGATCAGCGGAGGGTAGATTTTGTGGATGGTGGGGTTTGGGCTTTAAAATTTCTGAAAGATGAGGAGTACAGGAATTTTGTCACAAAATTTCAGGACTGTTTGTTTGAGAATGTTTATGGGTTGAGAGCTACAGAGGAAAATAAAATGAAAATTTATGGTAAAGACTTTATTGGGTGGGCAAAACCAGAGCAGTCGGACGATTCTATGTGGGAGAATGCAGATGATGGGTTGTGGAAGAATCCTGGAAAGAGTCCAGAGGGTTTGTCAGAAAGAGGGAATCAAGATTTATTGGAGGAATTTGAGGAGGCTGCAACTGATGGGGGGATTCAGAGCTTGACCTTAGGAGCCTTGGATAACAGTTTCTTAGTTAGCAATTCAGGTGTTCAGGTTGTGAAGAATTTTAGTCATGGGATTCATGGTAAAGGTGTGCATGTGAAGTTTGATGGTGGGAAATTGGGGTCCACATCAGGGCATTCTGGGACACCCAAGAAGGCCCTCTTGATGAGGGGAGAGACAAATATGATGCTCATGAGTCCGTTGAAGCAAGGGAAGCCCCATTCTACGGGGCTTCACCAGTTGGATATTGAGACAGGGAAGATTGTCACTGAATGGAAGTTTGAGAAGGATGGGACTGAGATTACAATGAAAGACATTACCAGTGATGCAAAGGGGTCACAGTTGAACCCTTCAGAGTCCACATTCTTGGGATTAGATGATAATAGATTGTCTCAGTGGGATATGCGCGAGAAACAGGGAATTGTTCAGAAGATAGCAAATGCAGGTTCGCCAGTGTTGCATTGGACCCAAGGGCATCAATTCTCCAGAGGAACGAATTTTCACTGTTTTGCCACGACTGGAGATGGATCAATTGTGGTTGGGTCACTTGATGGGAAGATAAGATTGTATTCGAGGACTTCGATGAGGCAGGCAAAAACTGCTTTCCCTGGTCTTGGTTCACCTATTACCTCCGTGGATGTGACTTATGATGGAAAGTGGGTGTTGGGAACAACAGATACTTATTTGATACTAATATGCACTTTATTTACTGATAAGGATGGGAAAACAAAGACTGGTTTTAGTGGTCGCATGGGAAACAAAATTCCGGCACCAAGATTACTAAAGCTGACCCCTGTGGATGCCCACATGGCTGGTTCTGATAACAAGTTCCATGCTGGCCATTTCTCTTGGGTAAGTTACACTTATTTTTATTATAATTAGTTTGTTTAACTCTTTTGACTTTTGTTTTTTACTATATTTATTTTGTGCAATTCTTTTGACTTTTGTATTTTGTTACTAAGTGTTGATTGTGCTGGTTGAATTGTTGAATTGCTCGACTGAAATTTGATTTATATATAATAAATGCTTGCTTGTTGGAATGCACATTATACTGTCATTTCTATAAATTGACATTTCATAAGTTGTTGATCGTCCCCCCTTTCATGTTATGAATATCAGGACCATTTTTATTAAGATCAGTTGTTTATTAAAATGTTTAGCGTGAACGCTCTCATTACCCCTAGATATTTTAGGATGTTATTTAGTTTCGTGGGCAACTCTTTAGTAATTATTACCCAGTGTTATTTTAAATATCAGCTGTGCGTAAATAAGTTTAGTATACTGTTGTTTTTGGGAGGAATATATGTATTTCAATTTTTTGTTTTCCATACTTTGCCTAATTGTCTAGTTATGATTTAGCCTCTGTTTGATAAAACGTTTTGAGATTATAAGCTGGTGGACCCATGAAATGTGTGGTTAAAAAGGTGGATCAAGGTTGTGGGTAGAATGAAATGTGTTGTTAAACGAAGTTTGACTAGCTTATAATCGTAAAAAGCTTCGTCAAACAGGGGCTTAGTTTGTTTAGTGCTCAAGATCTTGTTAATGTACGTGCCTGACTTCATAATATATCTAAATGACTTTTAGACTGTCATTTCAACAAATGCAGGATTTATCATTGTTGTGATTGTCATTGTGTGTTATAATGCCTCTTGTTTCTTTTCAGCCTAGCTCATTTTCTGATTATTTTTTTGTCATTAGGTTACTGAAAGTGGAAAACAAGAAAGGCATTTGGTTGCCACAGTGGGCAAGTTCAGTGTGATATGGAATTTTCAGCAGGTGAAGAACAGTGCACACAATTGCTACCAGAATCAGCAAGGGCTCAAGAGTTGCTATTGCTACAAAATAGTATTGAAGGACGAGTCCATTATTGAAAGTCGATTCATGCACGACAAATTTGCTTTTAGCAACTCGCCAGATGCTCCACTGGTTGTGGCTACCCCAATGAAAGTCACTTCCTTCAGCATGTCGGGCAAGAAATGACGTCTCCAGGTTATGGATTTTCTGACCAAGGTTTTATGTTCCTGTATAAATTCAGTTTCCTTCTGAAGATTTTGTTTTCGTCTTTTCTTTTTCATTGTAAATTTTTTATGTCTGGTTTGATTGATCTTGTAGGTGGGTTTTAACTTCCTGTATAATCCAATCAAATTTCTTCCTCTTATTTATTAGCATTTTTTTTCTAGTTTTCTCTTCCCTTTTGTATGAATGCTTTTATGGAGAGAGAGATTGATCTAGATATTGTTGAGATGTAACTAAATTGATTATTTATATTTACTTTCTGCCGACACTCTCGTTATCGGTGAAGAGATTTCGTACTGGCATTGAAATTGCTTCAATTGTAGAGGTGTCAATATATTTGGCAGTCTGGCACGTGCAAAGCACGGCTCAAGCTGCCTTGGCCCGTCTCTACTGCTGCCAGCTAAGTTGGGCCATGGACCACCTCGAAATCAGGTGGTGCTAGGAGCTTGTTTGGGAGTGATTTCCTTCCCCCTCCCTAAAAATTGATTTTTTGATCGTTATTTCATTATTTCAGCTGTCATGCTTGATTTCTTCTCTTACAGGTGAACCCCACTTTTTTCCTAACGGTCAAAAAATCAATTCTCAAAATTACTCCCAAACAGGCTCTAGATGTGGTCTGGTATTAGCAGATCTACCAGCAACATCTTCAAATTTGACGTATGTGCTAATGCTGGGAAATATTATTGCAATATTAGTGTCTCAACAGGTGAAAATCTGTGTTACAAAAATATTACATCTATGTAACTTGTAAGTTGTCATTTCAATTTCCTCTAGCAACGGGTTTTCAATCCTGGAAGGGCTTAATATCTTATTTTTGAAATTGGAAAGACCGGTTCAATGCACAATTGGTGGAAATTGTATAAAGCACATTCTGATACCAATATACGCTGTTGAAGTTATTCAAGGAATGAAGTACATACATTTGAAATTAGGAACTCAATCTTTCAATGATTTGGCAAACTGGGATTCATATATTCAAATTTACTGGTTAGAGTTCGTTATTGTTTCTTACAAATTACAATAATTAATGGTCTTCGCAGTTTTTGAATAGTTAAATTCTGATACTAAGAATTTGCTTTTATACATGTTTTGACAGATCTTTTGAAAAGTTCATAATTGTTTTCGAGATTAAAAAGTCAATTTTGAACGTGTTAGATAATTTTTTGAAAATGTTTTGTTCTGATTAGAAGAGCTTTTAGAGGAAGTTAGTCTATTTACTTTAGGAAGATCTTCTAGTAGCAAAAATTAAAACACTGCTTTTACCTTAATAATTTTTGAAGATTTCCATTTGTATAGAAAACTTTTTCATAGAATTCTATCAGAAATCTCACATATGTGTAACCCATGTTGTGATAAAAAATGTCAAAAAATCTCCCATCCACCCGACCACCTCTGTTATGTATGGCTTTTATATGTGTAGTTTCTATACACACATCAAGCTTCATAAATTTTTGGACTTTGAAAGGAGCTAGTTCAATGTGACTCTTTTACAAGTCTTGCTCTACGGGCGTTAAGTATAAGATGAATAATAAGCCATCAAAACAATTTACTTCTACTTTTATTATTGTCATCAACTATGGTTTATTGGAGCTGAGGAATGAGGCTCCATTTCAATGATGAATCAACCTATCCTCATGCCTAACCCTTAATCTGATTGATGTCCAACATTTCACTCTTTCCATTTTCTCTCTCCACCGGAGACTTCCCATTCTTTGCGCCACCACGTCCTCAAATGTCCGCCTCCATCTTCCTCCTATGGCTTGTCAGCATCCCTCTCATGATCCATGCCAATACCCAACCAAGAGGTACATATTTATTAAAAAAAACCCAGAATCATGCTTTATATAATATATATGTACATGTAGTATATGTATGTTGGAGAGATTGGCTAAAATTTGTATAATCGTAGGTTACCTCCTAAACTGTGGTGCCAATGAAAAGGACCCTCAAGTACGTCACGGATGATGATTTCACTACAACAGGAAACAAAACAACCATAAAAAAAACCAGATATATTGCCAATTTTGCACACTCCTAGGTTTTTTCCCAATGCCGGTGCGAAGAAATATTGCTAGCGTCCCTGCTATAAGGGAGGGAAACATCTGGTGAAAACTATGTATTACTTTGGAGGATTTGATGGAGGAGAGAAACCGCCAGTTTTTTATCAGATTGTTGATGGCACAAAGTGGAGCATTGAGAATACCACAGAGGATTATGCCCAGGGGCTGGGGCTCATCTCCTTCGGTCATCGTTGTGGCGCATAATAAGTATTTGAGTATTTGTTGTCTAGCAAGAAATGATCACACTGTTTCCAGCCCTTTTATTTCAGCTATTGAAGTGCATCGTCTTGATGATTCGCTTTATAATTCTACCGATTTCAAGAAATACGCGATGGTGACTCTTGCTCGAAATAGTTTTGGCTTGGGTGGACACATCATTGGGTATGAAATGTTTTACGAGATACTGTGAATTATAATTTGTTGTGTGTTTCTAGTTAGTAGAATTTGATTTTTCGTAATGTGAATTTCTAGCTGAGAGCCATTCATTCATCATATTATACGATAATGGCATGTTGAACAAGCACGAAATACCCTTAATGGGAGAGCAGCAGAGTTAGGTAAAAGAAGCTGATATGTCAACAAGAATTGCAGTATTAGGGAAGAGTTGAAATTTCTTGATTGTGAAACATTTTGGCTGATAGATTATCTGGTAAACAGATAAATTATCTTAGGACAACATGGCATGGATCAAAAAATAACATTGAACTGCACAAGGGAGAAGTATTTCTGGTCAGATTTTCATGTCTATAATGAGATGTATTGTGCTGAATCAGTTTTCCAGATGACAATTTTAATCGATACTGGCATCCTTTTGTGGACCAAAATCCCGTTTGTCATGAGTCACTCCAATGTAAGTTCTTCAACATTTTGGAACATCCCACCACCGAGAGCGTTTGCAACAGAACTGACAATGAGCTGGGGGAAGATTCTTACAGTCAAGTGGCCGCCATTTTTCCTCCCCGCACGGCGCTACTATGTTCCACTATACTTTCAAGATAACCGGACCCCAAGCCCACTTAGCTGGAGAGTTCGAAACCTTCTACAGCAACCTCAATGTCACCACTGACAGTGTGACTGTTTCTGGCACCGAATGGCCTCTTACTGGGCACACTGAGATTTCCTTGATTCCAAGGGACGATATGCCGGTTGGGCCTCTAATTAATGCTGGTGAAAATTTTCAGCTTTTAGCCCTTGGAGGAAGGACTATTACCAGAGATGGTAAAGTTCATTTTGAGATATTACTCTTTTCCTAGATACAAGTATTCTACCAAATTTACTTAAATACTTTTTTGGGTATTCAACAGTGGTGGCAATGGAGGACTTGCAAATAAGTCTCGACAATCAACCTGAGGATTGGTTGGAGATCCATGCCTACCAAGAGAGAACCCGTGGACTGGAGTAACATGCTCTAATGGAAAATCCATTAGGATTGTCTCCTTGTTTTACAATAACCATTCGAGCAGCATCTGTACTGAATAAAATGTGCAGTACAACCTTAAAACTATTTATGATCTATTTACGAATAAACAAAGAAATATAATTTCTATAGTTTCTTAATCCTGCTTCATTTTTCTTTTTCTTTTCCTTTTTTTTTTTTTTAGTGCGTGACACGGAATCTGACAGGTTATTGATTATCAACATCATTACTGAAATGTATATCTAAGTTAACTGGACTCAAGCATGTTGGTAAATTTAATTGATAGTGTATAGAGTGGAATCGGGTTCTCACATACTGTTTATGTGATTTAGACACCGAATTCACGCTTACCGTATTTGACAATTGCTTACCGTATTTGGCAGTTCAATTCACCATATATGGCAGTTTACCATACATACCAGGCAGCTCACCGTATTTGACAGCTTACTGTATATGCCAGGCAGTTTACCGCATATGATCTCTACCGTATTTGCAGAAAGCTCACTATATATGGCAGCTCACTGTATTTGCAGGCGAAATTCACCGTATTTGCAAAAAATTTGCATAAAGTGTTTTTATTCATACACTGACTAAAATAACACAATTTTTTCCACTTACAAATAGAAATATCGTATATGTAAAATCTATTTTTCACACATATAACGAATTAAAAAAAACGTGTATTTTATTTTATTTTTTTTTCTTTTAGAAATCTATTTCTAACATAAATTTAACAAACAATATATGAGACATGTAAATATCTAAATAAATAAATCTGCAAGAATAAAATGCAAACTAAATAAACAGCAAATAAATTTTCAATCCGAGGCATGTGCTAACATAGTTTCCTTAAAACAGATTCGTCCATTCACTGTAAGTGCTTGAGGTCTAGTCCGAGCGTTTGTTTCCCATGATAAAACGGCAAAATAAGCAGAATCTAAGCACTACAGAAACTACTTCGGTGAACCGATTTAGTGTCTGAACAGTATCACCACCACCACGACTTCACTGGACAGAAAGAAGACGACGACAGAATCTGGGAATTTTCGTGAAGAGAGAATTTCGTGTGTTTTCCGGGTGAGATTTTTCATATATTTTACTGCTGAAAAACTTGAGATTTAATACAATATAAATCTACCATTAACTCTATGGCAATTAACATTGGAGTCACTTCAATTTCTAGGAGTTTTGGAAGTTTCAGAAACTCAAAAGTCAGTGGAAAAAGCAAAAAAAAAATAATTGCAAAACGTGGGCTCTCCGGAGGGGCTAATTTTTGCTCCGTTCGGTCTGACATTCATGTACGCAGGTCGTGTCCGAGGTCCGAAGGCAATTTCAATCTTAGATTTGCACCCTTGGGCGCGCATGTGGAGAGAGTCTCTATGCTATGCATAATCACACTCTTCCAATGTGCAACCATATTTAAAGTGGTTCTTGCTTTCATATTTTTCCTATGTGGGACTAACTTCAATTTTCCCTCATAACCATCTTCCAATGGTCATCTTTGAGCTCCAATTTCTTATTCATCCATTCATCAATTTTGTCAAATAAATATATGGTTTCGATGCTCTCACGAAGGAGAACAAGGATCAACTTCGATCTTCCAAATTGGACCAACGGGTCCCACCGAAGATTTTGCCAAAAGTGAGTCATTTACTCATTTTTTCCAACAATCTCCCACATGAATGAAAATATGCTTTCCCTTGTGAAAGCATATTTACTTTACTAGCTGACCAGTAGACGTGTTGTCCTTGAACTATTCTGCCGTTTATGTAAACAATGATATAC